GCGGCGATAAAAATTAATCATCCCGAGGAATCTTCTCAGGTCTTTTATTGTTTTGGGTGCTGGGAAGTCCTTTATGGCTTGCACTTTGGAGTCAAGAGTCTGTAACCCGGCTGCGGACACTCTATAACCGAGGAAATTCACTTCTGGTTGGCCAAACGTGCACTTGCTAGTGTTGATAAGAACTCCATACTCTCTCAACCTGCTGAAGAGTAGTTTCAGATGTTCCAGGTGTTAATTACTGCTGTGACTGAATACTAAAATGTCGTCCAAGAATCCGTAGCAAAAATCTAATCCTCGCAAAACCTCGTCCATGAAGCGCTGAAAGGTCTGAGCGGCATTGCGAAGCCCGAACGTCATGAACGGGAATTCGTACAATCCGAAGGGTGTAGTGATTGCTGTTTTGGGTATATCTTCTTCAAAGACTGGTATCTGATTATAGGCCTTCACTAAATCTACGGTCGAGAAGATGGTGCTACCCACCAGCTGGTTGGCAAAGTCCTGCACGTGACGAACAGGGTATCGGTCCGGTATAGTTCGTGCGTTTAATGACCTATAATCCCCGCAGGGGCGCCAGCCATCGTTTTTTTTTCCGTGCCAGGTGCAGTGGTGAGGACCAAGCGCTCTCTGATCTGCGCGCTGTGCCATTCTTTTATTCTATTGTTGTGCGGACTGATGAAATTGCTTCTGCAGTAGTTTGAGTCTGTGCGGCCACTGTAATAGTAGTCACACCATCCACCAGACAATGGTTGCGGCAGTCGACAAGCAGGTTATAATATCCAAGAAAGTCGACACCGATAATTGGCTTAGATACGTCTGCAACTATAAATCGCCAAGTGAATGCTCGACGCAGGCCTAGGTCCAATGTAAGCGGCAAGTAACCGTAAGTCGCGATTACAGTCCCGTTAGCGGCGAACAGCTCGTATTTGGTCCTTATACGTGGCTCCCGAATAGCGGATCGTGGGTACACGCACAGATCTGAACCCGTATCAATTAGATTGTACTTTACTTTTGCGATCCGTGATGAACAGGCGGCTTGATACTCTTAGGCAGTCGTTTACCGCCACTAGTGGCTGCCTTGCTTGTTTTCCGACTTTTTGTATTGACACGGATGCGTGCACTTCAGGGCTCGATTACCGAATCGGTAGTGGTACCAGCAATAAGGGTGTTCTTGGGACCGGGAGCGTGGTCTGGAGCGTGATCGGGAACGATAGAGTGATCCTTGTGGACCTCTGGATCGGGGACGGCGGTGGTCGCGTAACTCCATGCTCATCGTCTCCATCCTTCTACTTAATTCCGCTACTTGCTTAGATAGTAATTCCATAGCGGTAGCCGGTGGTTCAGTCGCTACTTGCAGGGGAGTACTTGCGCTAGCTACTTATCCGGTTACTGTCACTATGTCATTGATTCGATCTGCCAGTTCAGCCACGTCTTCGAGGCTCATGTTGACTTGCGACGCGGCTATGGTTTGCAGGTTGGTCGGCAGTCGGTTACTGTCACTATGTCATTGATTCGATCTGCCAGTTCAGCCACGTCTTCGAGGCTCATGTTGACTTGCCACGCGACTATGGTTTGCAGGTTGGTCGGCAGTCTGCTCGACCAGATAGTCCTGATGAAATCCGCAGGGACCGTTGGGTCAGCCAAATGCTGTAGGTGGCGGAGGAACTGTGAAGGTTTTCTGTCACCCAGCTCCTCGTGCATTATAAGCTGCTTGATTTTTCGCTCTTGGGATGCTGACAGACGCTTTATTAGCTCAACCTTTAACTTCTCGTACCTGCCTGTAGCTGGTGGAGAAACTACTAGGTCTCGCACTTCCGCTATATACTGAGGATCGAGCTGTGACAGTACGAAGTAAAACTTGGTGGAGTCCGTAGTCATATTAGATAATGCGAACTGACCTTCCAACTGCGCAAACCACAGTACTGGATCATCCGGGTTGAACACCTGTGTCCTCACTCCAACTCGACATGCTTCTTGGAACTCTTCCTTGGTACCTATTGTCTTTTCGTATGGCATGTTCTTCCGGGGTCACCACACTTACATGCTGACACTGCTGTATAGTTCTATTACAGCCCAAACTGTTAAGCTCGTTTGATAAATTGGTCTAAAACTCCATAGTACTTGGATCTGCCTGATGGCTTAAGAAAACAAAATTAATGTGATGATAATTCTCACCTCTCGCCATTTCAAGGTTGTTGTGGAGGCGCTCAACCAGTAGCTCCTGCTGCCTCTTGTTGGCTCTCTTTTTTCTTTCGTCCATTACAATTTAATATATATATTTATTAAAACAAAACTATTTACATATTATTATACTGTCATGTCAAATTGACTTTCACAGATTCAGAAATCATTAGTTTCATACATACACTACAGTTCAAAAGTTTGGAAACACTTTTTTTTTACGTGTGGAAACCCCCTCTGGCCGTCGTCCCACCGGGGTTTGCGGCGGGGTGGTGCGTCGGATCGGACCGACTAAAACCACACGGTGTGCCACTCTGCGCCTGTAACAGGAGGGATCCGGGAACTGCTGTTATTAAGACATCTGGAATCAGACTCAATCCTAATCAAACGTTAGATTACCATTTAGAAAAAAATATTCAGTGCAAATAGATGCAAAATTTATAATATCAAATATTTTTTTTTCATCATAATGGCCACCTTTATTCTTAATTACTTCTTCACAAATTTTACTCATTCTTTTGATTAATTTATTGAAGTATTCGGGGTCCAGTGACTTCCATTCACTTTGTAAATATTGCCACAACTGTCCTGAGCTCGATGGACACCGATTCTTAACTTTTCTATCAAGTTCATCCCATACTAATTCTATAGGAGAGAGAGCTGGGAATTGTGATGGATGGATGATCATAAGTTGCAATTTTTTTTCCTTTCCTTTATGCTCTAGGAACTTTTGACATAATTTCGATGAATGTTTGGGGTCATTGTCTAGCTGGAAAACAAAATTTCACCCAATTAGATTCATCCAGAAGGAATCGCATTTTCCTGGAGTATTTTCAGATAGCCTTCTTTATTTAGTTTTCCATAAATATTAATCAAATGGCCAGGTTCATTGTTACCGAAGCATCCCTAAACCATTACACTTCCACCACCATGCTTAACTGTCTGCACAGTACACGCTTCAGAAGCCCGTTCATCTTTTGATCGGCGCACAAAAACACGTCTGTTAGATCTAAAAATCTGAAATATAGATTCGTCCGTCCAAAGGACTTTTTTCCAGTCTTCTTCCATCCAGTTTATATGTTATCCAGGTCATAATTTTTTTGGCTGCAACGCATCCTTTTAGGCCAGCAGACAATAAACCTCTCTTTATAGTTGTGACTGAAACTGGCTTTTCTCGTGTTTCATTTAAAGTAGCAGCAATTTGTGGCGCAGTTAAACGTCGATTTCGTTTCGATAACACTAATGAACTGATCATCCTGCTTTGTTGTAGATTTGAGACGTCCAGATCTCTTCCTGTCTTGATTTTCTTCAGTAGTTAGCCTTCGCTTAAGAGTATAATGTGCACCTTTACATGAAACGCCAACGTTTTTTGCGATTTGGCGTATAGAATACCCTTCTTCGCTCCAAATACAAATAGCACTTTGCTGTTCAACCGAAATCTGTTTCTTTTTTGCCATTTTATGCTCTTACTAAGTGTTGTTACTATCACATGACCGTCACAAAATACACTGAACTCTAAACTAAATACTTTATGAAATTTAATACCTATTAGAGAATTGAACTTTATTTAAAACATACACAAAGTGTGTATGTTTCAAATAGAGTTCAATGTGTGGCGGTCTATTTTCAAGATAACAGGTAAGTAGTAAGAATCAAATAATTTTGTTCATTATTGTTATAAGCCATAATAATAAATGAACTTCAACTTAAAAATTCAATTTAAAAACGTGTTTATTTAAAGACTTATTTACGGTATTTCTTTTAATCTAATAAAAATCAAGTGTTTCCAAACTTTTGAACGGTAGTATAGGTAACAATAAAGGTTGCCAGTTATGTGAACTAAGTAAAACTGTATTTACTTTATAACTGTGAAATCCAACATTTTGTTTACTATTTGATCTATAATAGGCATCAATAGGCAATCATTTTAGAATACCTGTAAATACAGGTATTCTAAAACCCAAAATGAACACCAAATTTAGGTTGACCTAACAACAGAATAGCATTTTGGAAATCGTTTTACTATAATAAGAGAATTTTAGAGTATATTTAGTTAAGTGATGTCTACAACAGAATTAGCACCATTGTCTAGTTTAGCCTGGACATTTTTTTTTGTATTGTTGCAGAATAAAACTTAAACCAACGCGACTGCGTCTAAACACTTTTTTCATTTTAAGTTATTGACTTGAATTCACTCTGAGTGCTCCTTCGTACATAATATGGAGAGTGCTCCGAGGCATTGTTCGAAGTAATACCGGCCGCAACTTTTCGCCATCTTTATACACAGAAAAATTTTCATCTCCATCACTTAATAATAATTGGCACTCCATAACTATGCGCTTTTCAAGACACTGCCTTTCACAACGAACCTGTGGAATAAGTTAACGTATGCGGTATTTCCGGACCGATACGACCTTCAATCCTTCAAGAAAAGAGTGTACTTCCTCAAAGGCCGTTGAATTGCAGGCGTTCATGGGCGGCGATAGTCGCTTTCCATCAGATGAACCGTCTGCTCGTTTGCATCTTTTTCCATAAACAAATAAGAACAGGATACATTCCGAATATGGGCGTTGTCTTTTACAAAATAGAAAATGAAATTACATCGGTAATTCTTTAGAAGCGACCACTTGACAATATTCTTGTTTAAAATCTACCTTAATGGACTGCTTATTTATATATTTTAAACCATAGTTCAAAATAATTTATTCCTTTCAGTTTTCTTCATGCCCGCCCTTCACGGAAATAAGAGGAATATTTTTGTTCGGTTGTCTTTTATTGTTCCCATTGCTCTAAATCTGTAATGAGGTATGTCTTTTACTTCTTTATCTTAACTTATATAGACTTATTTCCTTTTGAGTACCTGCTTGCCCCAACACATATAGGAGAAGTTCTTCTAATCTTGCCTCAGGATTAGCTCTCACTGCTGCAGCTACTCCTGCCTCTGTAATCCCAAGATCGCCGTACTTTAATATCTTCTTTGGTAGCCCTGTATACTTAGGAGTTAATTCTACACCGTTCACTAGAGCCTGTAGAACAACTGGTGGTGGGGAATGTTTCTTTATTTCTGATGTAGTTGCAGGATGCAGAGCCTTGGGTTTCTCAGGTTCAGAAGAATCAGAATCTGGAGACAAGTATTGATTTGTCACGTTTAATGTAAAGATTCCCTTCCCAGACACTTGTATTGGTTCTACCCTCCCTGGGATTGGCGTGAAGGTTTTAATCAGGGCCCCCATTGCCACTTTCGTTCGGTTCATGGCTACCGGGTCTGAAAGGTAAGAAAGATCGACTTGGACTTTCCGATCTCCAAGGACCCTCCCAGGTTGAGCCCCCTTGAGAAGTCGTTTAACAGTTCTCATCAGTTGTCCACTCTGTCTCTTCTCTTCTGCAGCTACTGCCTTCAGGTACTCATCCTCCATGTCAAGGTCATCATCGGGGTCGTCAGACTCCATACTTGAGAGGGACGGATTCATTTCCGATTCAGCAATGTTACAATTTACAGAATGATCTCCTAATAATGCCCATGGGTCCTCAGGATGAGGTTTAGTTTTAATGCAAGTTCACAAGGCTCTTGTAGTTCTTCTTTAGATCCCTCATAGACTTCTTCTGCATATGTTGGTAACCTTTCTGTCCAATTCTCATGAATTGCAACCTCTTTAGCTTTAGAGAAGTCGTGAAATTCCATAGTTTTTTTCATATGGCTGTTGCTAAAACCCGTCTCTTTTAGTTTAATAATAGCATAACTGATAACCAACCAAATAATGATCATCACATGTGAACAGCACCTCATTGTTCTGAAACCTACAATACAGTTACAGCAATAACAGCATAAATTATAATAACACGCAATAAATGATAAATTATATTTATTTCTGTAAGTAAATCTTTTCAGATATTTTTACAAGTCGGACTTTACGGCTAGAAGGAGCCGGCATTTCCTAAGACTCACTAACCTAACCGATATTGGTCAAGATCAACGACCCGAAGCGTGACACTACCGCCAGCACTACATGTGGGTAGGCCGTGGAAACCCTTAAAACCACCAGAAAGTTACTAAAATATGAATTAACATTACAAGCCTACACTATATTCATATTTACATACTTACACAAAAAAAAACTATACTATTCAAATTCAACGAAAAATAAACAAATTAAAATAAATAAAGTACGAAAAACACCAAATCAATTAAAATTAAATGTCCATCACTTTCAAACTTAACAACAAAGATGGGAACGTAAATGTGGGAGTGAGCAGCATAAATTCCAAGCAAAATTTTCGTCTAAATAATCTGTAATAGTATAGTAAGCCTTTTCACACAGTTTTAGCTTCACTAAAGACTTAAATTTGTTAATACTTCATTCATGGAATTTGCTTGGCACTTTATTGTAAAATCGCACACCCTGACAACGAAAAGACTTGCTTACTTTTTGTCGTCTAGTGGTTGCTAATACGAGTTTATCTTTATTTCTAGTGTTTATTTTATGCATGTCGCTAAACTTTGTGAATAAATGATTATTTTTCTTTACATACACAAAATTTTCATATATGTATTGAGATGCGACTGTCATGACCCCATTTTCAATTGTTTTTTTCCATATACACCTGAAGATGCTAAAGCTGTTGTTTTATAATTATTTCTGGTAGAATCTGATTTAATTAAGTGGAATTTCCTCTGTGTGCCGAACTGGGTTTTCTCTTCATAATCACAAGCTTTAATTTTTATATTAAGATGTTCTCTCTGATTGGTGAATAATAATAATGTAATTTATTTTCTCACTACACAATTTACAACAAGCAGTTACTTAGTAAGTATGATGGAATGATAAATTGAAATCTTCATTGAAAATTTTACTGAGCGTGAAACGAGACACCGGTGTAGCAGTTGTTTCACAGTGTAAAGGCTCTTCTCGTGTTCTTCATGAGCATTCAACAGAGCCTCCTTTTCACTTGGATCGGAAATAAGAATTTGACATAATACAGTCCAGCCTAATGATCAGAAAAGAGGAATTTCCTTTCATGACTAAATTATGAACCTACCCTATGAACAGTCTCTTGTTGAGAATAAATAAAACTTGATAAAGAAAACAATCTTTCTACAGCTCCCATTGAGGTTTGAACTTGAAAAAACACTTAAGTTAATTTTTTGAATGTTGTGTGGAATAAGTAAAACCTGCTAAAGAAAACAATCTTTCTACAGTTCCTGTTGAGCACAAATTTGTGTAAAATACAGGTTCTTACATTTAAATTAGCGTTGAGGAATTTATCCTATACCTCTTTGTTTTTATCCTTTACGAAGGTAACTCCATTTTTAAAGTGTATGGTTAATCTTTCTGTGTTGACCTCGGTCTCTCCTTTTTTTTCTGTGCGAAAATCCTGCACCAGTAGTTATGTCGGATTCGAACTGACCAAAAACCGCACGCCGCCTCGGGTACCAATTGCCGGGGAACCAGGTGTACCCTAGGAAGGAAATCCCTCCGCAGCGCGTCTCGCCACCACCCCGGCCTGCTTCTGCTAGGGTGACAGATGGCCTCACCTACCATCTGGGGATGGTAGGTGAGGCCTGTGCTTATAGAAGACGGAGGTCATTCGGCGCCCTCGGGCCCCCTAAAGCCTTATATCCACTTGAGCATGCTCAGAGGAACAAAATGAATGTTTTGGTCGAACGAGCCTCAACAATGAAAAAGCTGTGCTCAGGCTGCTCAGTATATGCTCGGCTCCGTCATGTCTTCACGTGTCCGTGTAGCTGCTGCTGCCTTTATAATCATTCACTGTGCCATAAAGAAGAAGAGAAAACCACCAAGGTGGTGGATGAGAGAAATGTATCGCCATCGAAGAAACAACTCGGCTAATATAATTCGTGAATTGACTTTCGAAGGAGATAACGAACCATTTAACAACTTTACAAGAATGTCAAGGATTGATTTTGAATATTTACTGTCATTGATCGGACCGCAAATTAAAAAAAAAGATACACATATGCGTGAGGCCATATCACCGGAGGATAAGTTACTGATAACTTTAAGATTTTTAGCTACAGGAGATTCCTATACTAGCTTGCAATACATGTTCAAAGTATCTAAACAAAGTATAAGCCGTTTTGTTCCGGTAGTGTGTGAAGCTATTATACAGGCAATCAAAGATTACATTAAGGTAAGCGATTTATCAAATAAATGCAAAATGCGGTTGAAATATTTTTTATTAAATTTAAAAATTATGATTTAATAGTTATTAAATAATGTAGTTTTTAAGTGTTAAGAAAATTCTGAGAGGTTAACAGCGATTCCGATTCAGTGAATTGGTTATCAGCATTTGCTGTTTCTGCTGGTGATGGTCGATTAGTCGATTCCAAAGTTGGTGACGGTGAACAGTTGATGTACTTGTAGTATACCCATATTGTTGTGGCTCATTGTAATATTCACGTGGACAATAGACATTTGGTGAATAATTTCCCATATCTGCATGGAATATTATATTATTAATGGCATGTTTGGCACAGGCCAAGGTACCTTTATCGTATTTTTTTAGTTCATTGGCAATATGCAATCCATAACTTGTGTACGGGTCATCATTGTCCGCTGTTTTCTTTTTCTTAGCACTTTTTTGATTTGGAGGGCGCATTTCACTGCTTGCTTCATTGTCATTAATGCCTTGATTATCAGCATTTTCAACATCCAAAACGTCTTTGGTTCGGTTGTCCTGTAAAAATTTTTTAATAAGGAATTGATGCATTGTAATTTGTTAATGGTTTGTTATTCTGCTTCAGGTTCCTCGAACAGAAAGTGAATGGCTAGATATATCACGAAACTTTGAAAAAAAGTGGAACTACCCTCATTGTGTTGGGGCAATGGATGGCAAGCATATTCAAATCATAGCACCGCCTCATAGTGTATTATTTGCGGTAGTAGATGCTGACTATAAGTTTATATATGTTGATGTTGGATGTAAGGGTAGAATTTCTGATGGAGGTGTATTTAAACATACCAATTTATATAGAGAACTTGAAAATAAAACTTTGAATATTCCGCCACCAAAGATATTTCAAATTCCTTATAATGTAAAAGTACCTTATTGTATTGTAGGAGACAACGCTTTTGCTCTTAATGAATATACAATGAAACCATTTGCTGGTAAGAATTATATACGAGGTTCTCTCGAACGAATTTACAACTATCGACATTCAAGAGCTAGACGAGTCGTCGATAATGTATTTGGTATTATCGCATCCGTTTTCAGAGTATTACGTAAACCGATTGCAATGGACACTAATAATGCGGTTTCAGTTGTAATGGCTATTACGCATTTGCATAACTTCATGCGTCAAAGAAACTATACCAGAGAATACTACTGTCCCATTGGGATTTTTGATAGGGAAGAAAATGGCGAGATAATTCCAGGTACATTTAGGACCGATGAGCCATTACAATCCTTCTTTTCTTTGCCACACGTGCCCAGGAGATCTACCAACCAAATCAAAGAAATTCGTTTGCATATCGCACGGCATTTTATAACAAATGCAGAATTACCTTGGCAATACAATATTAATTAAATTAGTTTACTTAGAAGAATTTTATGAAAATTAGCTGAGCTCAAAAGTGCCATAATATTTTTGAGTTGGTTGACGCAGTTCATTACAGTTCGGCTAATTTTCACAAAATATATAACCACCAGGAATAGTGTATCTTTATATTAGTGAAAGAATTATCCATATTGGACCAGAAGTACCAGAGTAATCTCCGGTAATGTTTGCGAGTTTGTTGTGTTTGTGAGTTCCAAACTCGCAAACATTACCTCTCTATAATATCAGTATAGATTATGAAAATAAATAAACTTACATTGGAACTATCTCGAGTTTCATTTGGTTCACTTTTATCCATTAAAAATTTTATCCCATCAAATGCAAACCATTTTGACACATACGCTTGATCTTGACCTGAAACAAAAATATTGAATTATGTAATTCATATATATGTATATGGTATGTAAATAAATATAACATGTTGACGGATCAAATAAACACTAATAACACTTACCACTTCCCGTTTTAGAACTTCGTTTTTGCTTTGATCGTTCCCGTCTAAATGAATCTGTCAGGCTTACAATTTTTTTTTTACATCGTCTACACTAATGTTTAATGTATCACTGATATCACGCCAAGCATCTTCTTTTTTTATGCGATTATAGTATTCTTCGTATGTACTATCCCATAACACCCTCTTTGATTCATATGCATCAATTAATGTTAAACAAGTCTCGTTATCCCACAAGCCATTCATTTTTCAAATAACAGAAAAAGTAAACGTAATTAAACTATATTAAACTCGGGGAATTCGACGAGCTCGCCTCAAACACAAAAACAACCGTCCACACTGAGCGCCGAGCGAATACTGAGCGCCTTTAGCCGCCTTTGAGCACGGACATAAACCGACAGAGCTCGCCCTGAGCGCGCTCGGATTTGCTCGGGCCGAGCGTGCTCAGGCGTCTCCACTTGAGCGGCTCGGCCAAATGAGCCGCTCATTCGCCAGAGCATGCTCAAGTGGATACAAGGCTTAAGTCTCGACCTCTGGCTCAACGGGAGAGTTTTAAACCTCTCCCGGGCCCGCTCCGCCGTCTCCTTTGCAAGCATACGAGGGGAGGTCTAAAAGTTCGTGAAATGAAAGGGTTTTAAATAATGGGAACAATAAATCTATTTTTCCTTTGGAATATAATCACCCTTAAGCTGAATACATTTATTAGATTTATGAGTTAATTTTTCTAAACCATTGTAAAAATATTTTTTATCTTTTGCCTCAAAATGAGCTAAAGTTGCCTCCTTTACATCTGTTTCTTTTTTTTTAATTGGGGAACAAATTAAAATCACTTGGGGCCAGATCTGGACTGTTAGGTGGGTGGACCAGTGTTTCGAAGCCGTGCTTGTGCAGAGCAGCCATTGCAACTCTGATCTTGTGAACCGGCGCGTTGTCTTGCAAGAGCAACACACCCTTGGTCAATTTTCCTCGACGATTTTCTTTGATGGCCTCCTTATATTTCTCTAGTATCGTTGCGTAGTATTCGCCGGTTATGGCCCTTTCCTTTTCTTTGTAATGAATGAGTGTTATCCCCTTGCCATTGTTTCTCAAGCGGCGTACATAGGGGTATTTGACCCAAAAAGCTGGCCAAAAATATTTTTGGTCTCAAACGAGGCCTATGGGTGTCAATAACAAAAATTTAATTATCTATCATTGATTCCATGTAACATACTCGTGCAACAGATAATTATACATCGTCGTCACTACTTGTATTATTATCAGTTTCTGAATATGTACAACTAGTGGACGGTTCGGCAGGTAGTCATAAATTTAGTGTTTCTTTTTGGAAGGGTATCGATATCTTCTTTGACACCTTCTATAAGCCCGTATTGACAAGATCTGACGTCAATAAGAGTCTGTTTATGACGTCAAGATTACATGATATTCGGGAAAATTGTATCGAATAATTTAGCCTGTAATCTCTAAAATGTTTATTACGGGCTTCTGCAGCCTCTTTTGAGAGCTGACCGATTGGGAGTAGAGCTGATTATTTCTGCTCCTACTATAAGATAATTTTGAACCTTTACATTAGGTTCGGGTCTATGCCAGTTATTGAGGCAGATAATTGATGGTCCGATAAAAAACGTCTGCTAGTATTGCCATCATTGGAATTACCAAAATTGGCTTTAGGAACATCTACAAATGGTGCTAATTCTGTTGTTGACATCACTAAACTAAAAATTCTCTAAAATTCTCTTATTTTAGTCAAGCGATTTTCAAAATGCAATTCTGTTGTTAAGTCGAACTAAATTTGGTGTTCATTTTGACAGCATTAAATTTGAATCTGACATCACTAAAAGTTAAAATGGAATTGTTGCCTTTGTTTAAAAATTAAGAATGAATGATATAGAGAAAGATTAAGAGTGAATTCATAAATCTTTTGAAACGATATTTTTAGGATTTTATAATGCCTGTAAATGATTATTAATGCATATTATAGATCAAATAGTAAAGAAAATGTTGAATTTCACAGTTATAACGAAGTAAATACAGTTTTTCTTAGTTCACATAACTGGCAACCCACGGTAAACCTTTTTGTTACCTATGTCTGTGCAGACACCTTCCATATAATAAAACTTCTTGATTGAAATTTTGTGAATTTATTTTAGGGTAGGTTCAGATGACAAGCGCTCAGCGCGCGTTGAATTTTTGTATAGTGTTCACATGGTGCGCGCTTGTCAGGCGTTAAACGCGCGTTGTCGCGGCCAGTTTGAGTTCTACATTTGTCGAAGATGGACGTAGAAACAGTTTTATCGGTGATTTTATACAGACGGCAGAAACGACACAACAGAAGACGGAGATATTGGGTTCACCCAATTTTGTCAACCAGGCTGACTGAAAGTCAGTACATTATTTTATATCCTAAGTTAAGGCAATTTGAGCCCAAATTCTTTAACTACTTAAGAATGTCCATAAAGTCATTTGATGACTTACTGACTCTCATAAACGATGAACTCGTAGCAGATAAAAACGCTGTGCGATATAGCATTTCACCGGAAGAAAAACTCATAATTACATTGAGGTAAGTTTTTTAATAATCAACATAATCTATAAATCAAATAAATCAAATCAACTTGTTTAGGAACAATTTTTTTAAAGAAAAAATAACATTTTGTTACTCGCAGAATAACTCTAACTCTGATTCATTGCTGACATTAGTTGGTGCTGGCGATGGAGTAGGTGTTACTGGCGATGGAGACCCCATTGCTGTAGTATAACCATAATGTGCAAAATTATTTGACACACTAGACTGCTGTGATCTATAATCATGATAACGAAAGCCTTCAACAGAAGCTGATGACTGATGACGCTGCTCTTGTGATAAATAATTTCTTCGTTGTGGTACCGGGTAATTTTGATTTTCATATGTCTGTTGTTGTGGTCCTTGAAATTCATTTTGGTTTTGCAAAATTAAATTATAAATGGCAATTTTAGTTTGAAGTCGCCTATATTCCGGAATTTTTTTAATCTCTTTAACGAGTGACAAACAAAACAGCTTGTCTTCATCGTCATCTTCTTTTGGATGCGACACATTTTTCTGTGCTAAACTCTGCTCTAATATGTTTGCAAATCTTTCATCAGCAGGATTTAATTTTTGTTTTTTTCTTGAAGTAGTTTTAGGACTCTTAAAGCCAGAACTTATTTCTACTTCAGCAACCTCTGACGAAGTTGATGCATTATCTGCATCGAAACTACTTTCTGTATCTTTGTTGGCAATTGATGCCTGTAGAAATCGTAGTCTATTATAATGAATATATGTCGAAGTTTTGGAAGCTCCTGATCCAGATTTGACAGTCTTCATTTTCTTCACCTCTCTCATATAATTATCCCGTAAACTCTTCCACTTTTTTTGCAGGGATGACGCTGAAAAAAAAAAACAGTATTTAGCAATAGTTTATGTTTTTTTCCAGATATTTGGCCATTGGATGTTCATTTGGGACATTAAGCTACGACTATAGAATTGGCAAATCTACTGTGGCTACTATAATACCACATGTATGTGAAACTATTTGGAAAAAATTAAGGCCCGTTGTTATGAGTGAACCAACGAAAGAAAAGTGGTGTGAAATATCCACGATATTTGAAAAGAACTCAAAGTTTCCCAATTGTTATGTTATGTAACCGTTTATGTTTCCCGTCCAAGGCCACCTTGGACGGGAAACATATACGGTTAATCCAGCCTGAACACACGGGTTCTATGTATTATAACTATAAAAATTATTTTTCGCTAGTTTTATTGGCGCTAGCGGATGCAAACTATTGTTTTGTGTGGGTTGACATAGGTGCCTACGGTAAGAACAGGGACTCAGGTATATTCAAGAAGTCTTCATTGTACAAAAAGCTGACAGAAAGGTCATTAGATCTACCTGAGCCAAAGGCATTATTAATACAAAATAGACCGACAACGTTGCCATATGTGATAGTGGCTGATGAAGCTTTTGGCATGATGGAGAATTTAATGCGTCCATATGGGGGAAGGTCACTAACTTATGCTAAAAAAATATTTAATTACCGTTTGACATTAGCATGCCGGTATGTTGAATGTACTTTTGGCATAATGTGCAATAAATGGCGCATTTTACACAGGCCGTTAGATGTTAACATCGGTTTTGCAGAAAAGATCATAAAAGCGATATGTACACTAAATAATTATGTCAGAATCAGGGATGGCTACAATTTTGAAGACACACTTTCTACGCCACCCCTGGAAAATCTAGCCTCACATTATACCGGACGTGCTGTGCGACAGGCGGATAATGTTCGAGTACATTTAACAAACTATTTCATCAATGAAGGAAAAGTAGATTGGCAGGATCGTTATATTTAACTTGTCACACAAACCGATTGTAAATGTAAATAAATATATATACTCACATAATATTTTCTTCTTTTCTTCATTGTCATGTCCTTCACAAAATATAAGGACGAGTTCTTCCCAAGCCCGTCTTCTCAAATTCTTATCTGAATAATCGCTACTTGTCATGTCCCATATCGCAGGACGTTTCTCTATTTCATCAATTAATAATTCCGTATTAAAAAACTTCGGTTTCCATTTCGGACGATTTCCGGACGAACTTGACGAACCCTAAAATACGTCTATCCACGTCGAAAGCGCGCGCTCAACTGAACGGAAACATAGAAAACCAATGATCTCAAAGCGCGCGTTAACGCGCGTTGACGCGCGCTGACAACAGTCGAGCGCTGGCGCAGCGTTGAACGCGCGCGTTACCAAAACGTGCGTTAGCATGTGTACGGCCTGAATAAAATGTATGTAGTTGTAAACGCGCGTTAACAAAACGCTCGTTGAGCGCTTGTCATCTGAACCTAGCCTTAGTATAAGACCAGCGACAGCTTTCGAGTACAAGAAGAAAGTGGGTGGTCGAGACCCTTGTCGGTACTATTTATATACATTTTTTTGGTACATAAACTAATTATAAACACCGTCACGATGATGCGCCTGATGTATTTGTTGCTCATTAAGTGCGCAATGTGATTGACAGCTGTAGTAAGTTAGGCGTGGCCTGAACAACCTATGTACGAAACTAATGATTTCTGAATCTGTGCAAGTCAATTTGACATGACAGTATATTTTTATTGTAATTAGAATATATTTTTATATTATATATTTTTATTTAACAGTAATGGACGATAGGAAAAAGACGGCCAACAAAAGGCAGCATGCGCTGCTGGTTAGCGCCTCCATAACAACCTAGAAGTGGCGAGAGGTGAGAATTATTCAGTGTTTCATTAACTAAGGAATATCATTTTTATTATGTTAATTTTAACTGTATTTTCACCACATTAATTTTGTTGTTTTAGGCAATCAGGCAGATCGAAGTAATATGGAGTTTTAGACCAATTTATCAAACGAGCTTAACAGTTTGGGCTGTAATAGAACTGTACAGCAGTGGCAGCATGTAAGTATCTTATAGAAGACCCGTGTTTTTACTCATTCAAACGGTATCTTTTGTTTTGTACTTTCTTGTAATACTAAAGTCGTGAAGATCGTCTGACGTATAATTAACTTACGAAGCCAGTGATACCTAATGTAAAATCCTTCAATTTCAGTAACATTCAATAGAATTATTACTGTAGTAGTTAAAACGGTCACCTCGGCACTTCATACAGCGCTGAGCGTTGTGGATTCGATCCTAATATGGAACAACACTTGGTGCGATCCACATTTATCGTCTTTACTTATGCCTGTTTAATTATTTTTGTTTAGGTTTGGAGTGTATGGGTGGTCAAAGTTAAGACTAAGGTGCGCAAAATCAATGACTCCATAAGGGCAACAGGAGGAGGACCAGCTATATCTGAGCTCACAGATATTGAGCAAAAAATTATAGATGTATGAGAGACAGCAGTGCTTCTACATTGCGTGCTTCTGAGATCTTAGCATCAGCAATTACTTCAACACATAATTCAAGTCATAGCAACAACATTAACCAATGGTAAAGTATCAACTTTGTTATTGGTTTATGTTATTGTTATGGTTGTATTTTTCGTAAACTGCTACTACTTTCTGCAAGACTAGCTCGTTTGATAACTTTGTCTAATCCATTTTATTTTATTTGTCCCTTTGTTTTTATTTTGTTGATTTTTTTACATGTTATTTTAAATTATTATTTGTTTAAGTGATTTTTATGATGATTGTTAATTATATAAATAATAAAAAACAGAGCTTTTACCTTTCCGCTGAACTGACCAAAACCATAATCACGTAATCACTTATCATTTTAAAAAATAATTCGCTAAAATTTTAAATTTTATACTTAAAAACTAATTATTAGGTTAGTCGGGATGTATTTAGCTAGCGTCTAATTTTAGTGTGACGTTTTTAATTTTTGTCAATTTTTGACGTTTAGAAAGTACAACAGAAAAACAAATGAGCAAAAAAGGACTAAGTTGAGTAACTTAACTAATTTTGGTTGTGTCAAACTAAATATAGTTAAGTTCTACGTTGTCAGAATACGAAACATTGTTTGACAGGACTAAACTAATTTTTAGTGATTTTTAGTTTCGTTTAGAGAGTTTACGAACAACAGAATTAGCACCAATAAGTCCCATCTCCTTTCTAAATTTGTCCTGTATTTCTTTTTTTCTTTGTTATATTTTTATCAGCCTGTGTCCTTTGAGAGGTACTTTGCATGACAAATGCAATATGTTTTCAAAAAACCTTATTCGGGCATGTAGAATCGAAAGGCCAAACTGTAAAGATTCCACATTTCCTTCTCTTCTTTTCGATAAATCGTTAAATTCTTTAGATGTATCTGGTCGATATGGTCGGTCGAGATGATCTGGTCTACAGTATCAACCACACCCTTCGTTGAATTGTAGAATTCAATAATTTCGTCCGTTTTTGTATCGATATTGATAGCAGGTTGATCATGTATGGTAGAAAGAAGGTAAACAACCTTATTTGACTTCGGTTTATAAGACACCAAAGTCATTTCTTTACCGAAACCGAAAATCGAAGTACCTACTCGTCTATTTCTAGAATACGTCATTTCTTTGGGGCTATCTCGCTTATTACTTCGTAGAGTATCTGCCATATGGTGGTTTCAACAGTTCAGCGGCCAGAGAAACCGATGTAAACCATTTTTCCATGGTTATATTCCGGTTCGTCCCATGGTACGGTTTAGATAGCTCCTTCACAAAGTAATTTGCTAATGGCTCGTTACCTGTGTTCGTGTTTTTTCCCATATAAGGCATAGCATTGCACATGTACTTTGTACGAGAATCAGCCATAATCACAAGCTTCAAGCCATATTTGTTCGGCTTATTAGGGATGCGAAAGGGACAGCGTCCTCATCCGACCAGTTGTTCGTCCACGGTTATGTAACAACCTCGCTTATACCATTTCCTACAGTTTTCTATGTACTGTTCCCAGAAATTTCTACTTGGCGCCAGTCTATCAGATTCCTTTCTCTCTTGTTTAGTATTTTTTGTCATGAAATCTCATACATCTCAGTTAGAAGTCGAATCTTTCAGCACTTACACAGGCTTTGTAAGTTTTTGCACTTCTCAAGGTATCAAACAAAGTCCGTGTTGGCAAAAGGTTACTTTTGAGACCAGCAGATTGAATAATCAGACCCAGCAATGCCTTGATTTCATAGGCCGCCGTTTGTGTAGTAGTTTGTGTACTTATTGTTTTTTATGTCAATCTCGACGTTCGTATATTGTACAATAACGTCGATCATTTTCTTCTCTACAAAAAGATAAAATAGATCTTTTGGCTATAAGAGTTCTTTAGCCATACCTGCGGGAGGTACAATATGCAGCACATTACGAGCAGCCGTGCGAGTACGTGGATCTCGAGGTTTTGTAGACCATTTATGTTGATTTTTACCATACAGAATATTCTCTCTTGGTTGGTTCGAACATGAAGAACCTGGTGGTTCTTCATGTTCGAAATCCATCTGACCCATGCATGATGTCAGTGAAGTATCATCATCGGAATCTATGACTAACCTTCGACTATGACTGCGACGTGGAACGAAGAACTCTTCATCCGACAAATCTGCAGCATCCTAGTCGCTTCCATCAGTTTCGGTATGAATTTCCGTCTCTAAATAATCATCATCCTCGGATGTCGAAGACTGTGCTTGATTATCAGGGATTGACTCCGATTCCTAATCAACTAACCATTGTTGAATTTTTTCTTCTCAAATTTATTTGAAAGTATGAAAAACAAAAACTAAATACATTTCAAATCTAAAAAATCACCAAAATATCAAGAAGTTGCAAAAACATTGAAATCTATTAGTTATTTATAAAATATAGTAATTATTAGTCTTTTTATAACATAAAAATAATATGCTCTAATAGTAATTATTGAAAAGAATTGTCAAAAAATAAATGCACAATTTTACGACGAGCACGCGATATATTTTGCGATATATTACGCGATATATATTGTCCGTGAAGTCAGCGGCTTGCACAGGATTATGACACTAGGTATGCGGCGGTGTGGATGTGGCCTTTAAAACGGCCGATTTTCATGTGATTCGCAAAATATATAAATAAACTTAATAATAAAACTACGGGTTAGTAAAAAAAACAAACTACTCATTCATTTATAGATTAAATCTATGCGCCTATTATCCTTTTTTAAATATGATTTTATAATATCGTCATAGAAAGTTGGATTGCGTTTTAATTTTATCATTAATGCCTTTTCTATAGAAATCATGGAAAGATCTGTGAGTCGTTGTTGATTTGTGTGTTTCTCAAATATGTGTGGATACGTTTTAAATACGAAAATGAACGCTCTGCGATGCGCTGCTTGCTGGGATAGGCACAATGAATTTCGCTATAGGCCGACCGTTTATCTGAGTCCTCGCCTGCGCGGTAACAGGGGCGCGGGGGTATGACGACAAAGGGGACTGAGACAGGTGCGGGCGGCGGGGGCGCTTAGTGAGATACACGCGAGATGAAATGCGCCAAGATAGTTCCTAATATATGTGACGTCATAGTAAAGAAATAGTGATTTATTAAATGAAAAATTTGTAATGAAAATACAAAATTTTAATTAACGAACTAAAAGCTATGAAGGTACGTAAATAAAATATTTGGTAATAAACTATTGTACTATTTATTATATAGAATAATCATCAAAATTATATTTCAATCAGTTATGTCCATATCAATGTCGGTGGAACTTGATTCTTCACTTTCGAAGGAGTCATCATCGGATTCATCAGAGTCGTCAAGAGTGTTAATAATAAAATCAACAGATGCTGTTGATTTTATTATTAACACTCTTGACGACTCTGATGAATCTCTCCCGAATTCCATCATGTTTGCAGTACTCGTCCTCGATATTAATTACATGGTTAACACAATGCTCCCACTTCTGTGCAGAATATTCAGCAAATAATCCCTCTAACATAGTTTTTTTTTTGGTCTAGATTAGAGTCCACACTTTTTTGTGCTAATTGCCCCTTAATGTCACCCCAAACGAACTCAATAGGGTTAAGGTCTTAGTGATAAGGAGGCAAACGCAACACTTCATGCCCGTTTCTTTTCAATAACTCGTCAATTTTATAAATATCTTCAGTTTCTGTCTTTTTAATCAATTTTGATAAGTCGTCCTTTTTCAGCTTATAATCGAAAACCACGTCGTGTCGTCGTAACCATGTTTGCATAACTGCCTTGGTAGAAGCCATAGGGCGTTTGTCCACCGCCGCCGTCCCCGGGCCGTCGCCGAGATCGAGATTATTTCGGGCCTTGTTTAATATGACGTGATGGCGATCGTTTGTCCACCGCGACCGATTTCGCTGGTTTAGTTTGTTCCAACTGTCATGCGTGGTAGTCGCGTTTTCGAAGAAATAAAGTGATGGCTAGGTTAAACCGACGACAACTTCTTCTGCTTTAGTACCTTCGAAGGCGCAGGCGATGCAAAGAATTTTGGGTTCATCCGCTAATATGTGAACGATACATCACAGGGGCGTTTTATGTACACCACGCCAAGTTGCGGCAGCATGACGATAAGTTTTTTAACTACTATAGGATGTCCACGACTACGTTCGATTATATCCTATATCATATTAAGGATTACATCACACTCTAAAACACGAACTACAGGACATGCATACCACCAACTGAAATGTTAGCTGTAACGTTGAGGTACGTAGTAAAATACTACTCCATCACCGCAACTAGAAGACGCATGTTAGTGTAGGGAAGGTCTCTACAGTTGGTAATGTCAGTCTGCGTCACTAACTCAACATGCGTCTTCTACTTGCGGCGATGTGTAGTAAGTAATACTTTTTGTATTTTAATATATTTATTTGAATAATAGTATGAAATGAGGTGATCCGGCAGAGAACTAAGGTCACCGACATAGCGTACCGGATCAGCAAGTTGAAGTGGCAGTGGGCTGGCCATATTAGCCGCAGAACCGATAACCGTTGGGGAAAACGAGTTCTTGAGTGGAGACCGCGTCTCGGCAAACGTAGTGTAGGACGCCCACAGGCCAGGTGGAGTGACGATTTGCGCAAGATGGCTGGCAGGAGCTGGATGCGAGAAGCCCAAAATCGATCTAAGTGGCGTGCAATGGGAGAGGCCTATGTCCAGCAGTGGACTGCGATAGGCTGATGATGATGATGATGATGAATGACAGGTAGTCACCTTATATGATAGTATGAATAACAGGGTCCAATTTTATAAAGCTACAAGTTACAATTCTACAGGTAAATTGACATTAATGACGCAGTTTCGACCAATCACGAATGCGGATTCCGTCAATGTTGCCAGTAATTTACCTGTAGAATGTAACTTGTAGTTTTATAAAATAGGGCCCAGGTAGTTAGATTAAACTTACACACTTACACACCTACATTTCAGAAAAATCTTGGGAAAATAATTCTCCAATAGATTGTATTTGTTGCTGAGGTGTGAACTGCTGGGGTGAAATCAGTTGGTTTCCTTGTTGAGGTGTGAACTGCTGGGTTTCATGCTGGGGTGAAATCAGTTGGTTTCCTTGCTGAGGTGTGAACTGCTGGGTTTCATGCTGGGGTGAAATCAGTTGGTGGAAGTTACCATGATCGCTAGGTGTAGCGGTGCTCGACCACGACAAACGCCTGCGGTTTTTAAATCTGCGAAGTAATTGCATAACTTCGATTCTAAAGTCAAACCTATCACCGTCGTTCAATTCTTTGACGGATGGCAGGAGAGATATCATAAATGCACGGTCATCGTCAATTAATTCAGATTCCGATTCCGCGGGATTTGCCTGTACAGCTTTTAATATGTCTGCATCGACCGCATTTAGCCTTTTCGTTCCCCTTCGAATCGTGGTAGACGTGGATGTGGATGGGGAAGGTATTGATTGGTCGAGGTGACTATGTGATGTTTTTTGTCTTTCGGGACGACTTTCAGAATCATTTTGAGTTGGTATGCTTGAATCAGTTTCGTCGAGTGTTACAGTCTTGAGTAGAAATTGTAGGTTATCACTGTAAATGTACTTTTTTTTTTGCGGCTTGTCCTGACTTAGTCTTAAGGGACTTTATAAATGTGTCTCGAATGTTATGAGCATTTTTGGAACCGAGTTTATTTTGTACTTCCGATTCTACTAAATTTTGGATATGTTTGTGGTAATCAGTCTCTATTGACGTTATAACTAGTTTCATGAAGGTCGGAATTGGTTATGTACCTTTTTTTTAATTGTTCGAGAACGAAATATCGGGCACTTCCCGTACATTTACTATGAGTAAAGTAACATCAAGTGTTAGCTCGTAAGTGGCATGTATATCAGTTTACACTAATGTCACAATATTAATTAACAATATTATTAATTGTTACTTTATATTAATTTCACCATTAATGTTACATATATGTATGTGCTGTGAGTTAACCGAATAAATAAATAAACATCAACATGTTATGTATTTATTTATTTTTAAATGATATGTTCATAAATCTAAACATGCAAACAAACCAATTTAAACCAAATATAGGTACACATTTGAGCAACACATTTTGGAATGAAATGCTATAAAACATTTAGCATGTAAGTTAACCTGATACTTTTGAGATGAAGTAACCGTCAAGTTTTTGCAATAAGCACAACGCAATCGGCTCGGTGCTCTACCGACCATGTGCTCAGCATTACACTCGCACTGAGGGAGGTACAGTCGTAGAAATCTTTTTAGAAGGACCCGGCCGCCGCTTATCAATGCCGTACTTTTGGAGCAGTTTCGAGCAATACTACGCCGAAATTCCAGTGTATCTACATCATTGAGTATTTGTCTTGTGACAAGTGTTGAATTGTTTACAGCCACATCAATAAACCAGAAAATTATGGGCATGTACCTTTTTCTGCCTCTAATTGCAATCCTGTAAGTGCCTACATTACCATCTAAACGATTCACGCCACCCATGAAGCAATTGTATTGATATACAATGTCAGATCGTGGCACATCCACTCTTGCCTTTTGCGCGGCTGAATACCTTCTTGCTGTTCTCAGAGGTTTTTAATTTTTATTTTTATAACTTCTCCGTTTCTTTCTTGCATTACTTGACATCCTTCAAAGGACACTTCTCTATTCTGTTATTTCTTACAGTACAGTATTTTGTTCCTTCATTTCTGTAATTAGGGGTAACCCTGTAAAAAAATTATAGATATAAACAGAGAAGTTTGTATCTTCGTTGACAGCTTTGTTCTCCGTAATAACTTTACATCCGATATGTTGCCCTTAACCGGTCCTGACTCTTTTAGATTTACCCTGGTAAAGATCAGCATATAAGCAATATCCTAGTCGAAAAGTTGCTACCCAAGTTTTAAAACCGAACCTGATAGGTTTTCCTCTAATGTGCTGTTTACCCCCATGCCTACCGTAATAAAAGATCATAGATTCGTCAATGCTAATATCTTTTTCAATCACAGCATATTGTAAAAAAAAATATTGATCATCTCAAACAAGGGGCACTTTGGCCATTTTGTCACCGGAGCTAAATTTGAGTTATCAGCTACATGGAAGTATCGCAAAATTTCTTCAAACTGGTTCCAATATTTACCTTGTCTGATGATGAAATCATCATCAGACAAGGTAAACGCCGTATTTCCTTTTTCTACAGCATAAATAACTGTATGACGAACAATATGAATTATTATTTCTAACTAAAAAATAATTCAAATAAATCGA